TGACAGTGTAGGCGACCTTCTCCAGACGACCGTCGGGGAGCTGAACGTAGTAGGAACCCTGAGTGTTGTATCCGTCACGGGTCTCCTGGTGACCGAAGTCGTTGCCGGAGTAGTCGTCCTTCACAGCATAGTTGAAGTCGTACTTGGCAGGGACCTGGAAAAGTTGCACAAAATCAGAATCGTGTGATACTACATTCTCTTTTGCAATATGTCAGTAACAAATGCGATTTTCAGATTTCTAAAACTGTACTTACCTCATAAGCTGGCTGAGGAGCATATCCATAGGCTGGCTGAGAAGGAGCAGAGGCAGCAACGGCCACGAGGGCGAGGGCAACGACAACAAAGCCTTTTCCAGAACATCTTAAGCACAAACATTTGTCACGGTATTGTGGATCACACTAGTTATTTCAGTTTTTGTTTTTCTTGTTATATATCTTATTAAGACACGATGATATTTCTTACCTTGGTGAACATGATGAAGGTAGATGAAGTGTGATGCTCCTATCTCAAAGCAAGTCCCTTATATACTGTGGTCCACGAGTAGGCCTACAGTAGACACGCCCCTTCCTTCCTTCCGAGCGACCTTCACCTTGAACAACCCAGTACCTGTCTATAAGCCTGCACTAGTCTACGCCTAAATGAAATTTTATATTATGATGCATATATATTAAACAAAAGTCTACTACCACTCATCTCATTGCCTATTCTACATAGTTGAAAAATGTTGAAAAGCATATTCTAATGAGTTCGTTCAAGAGAGAGAGAGAGAGAGAGAGAGAGAGGGAGGGAGGGAGGGAGGAGAGGGAGGGAGAGGGAGAGAGAGAGAGAGAGAGAGAGAGAGAGAGAGAGAGAGAGAGAGAGAGAGAGAGGGAGAGAGAGAGAGAGAGGAGAGAGAGGAGAGAGAGAGAGAGAGAGAGAGAGAGAGAGAGAGAGAGAGAGAGAGAACAAATTCGAATACACTATTATAGGACTACATATAGTACATACATAATTTGAGGGAAATCAAATCTATTAGTGCATAATTTAATTTACTCATGCCCATGCTAACAACTAAGGAAATGCAGTGCCTATGCAAAGTCATCTTAACTACTCTTGACTGATTATACTGTTGGACTACCAATTTAAAAATCTATATATTCTTTTCACATATTCAAGAATTTAGCAATCTAAAGGCCGTGTCATACTTGGACCTTTTACGCATTGCTTTTCCGTTGGCACCACGGAAACCGTGGTCATTTTGGCGCGCTCAGTCACAGTACCGATGAGAACCAGAGACAGAACCAGTCTAACGAAAATTATTAAACACAGCAAGATGGCTTTAACCTCTGCGATGATGTGAATGTTATTCGGGATATGAGGCGACGATTTAATACGAAACACCGAACGTATAATGGTAAATAACACCGTCTTCTCGCTGCTCTCATCTAGTTAGAGGACGGGGAAATGCGGTCACAAATGTAAACAAACAGGCGACGAGCAAGTTACCAACTTGTATCTGTTATTAAATACAAGAGAGAATTTTGCCAAAATTTGAACATTATTTACAATTTAGACTGCCTCTTTGAATCGCTTTATATTCTAAATATTTTTTTTGTATTACTATAACGGTTATCTATTATAGATTATGATTTTAACAAAAAAGCCGATGGAAAATTTGCCAGCAAAAAACGATAATTATCGTTTGACTGGAAATTATAGGACAATATACCAGCGAAAAGAGAGAAGAGAGAGAGAGAAGAAGAGAGAGAGGAGAGAGAGAAGAGAGAGAGAGGAGAGAGAGAGAGAGAGAGAGACAGACAGAGAGAGAGAAGAGAGAGAAGAGAGAGGAGAAGAGAGAAGAGAGAGAGAGAGAGAGAGAGAGAAGAAGAGAGAGAGAGACGGAAACGCGAAAGAACCACGGAAATAGTGCTAGTGTGAAACCCCCTTAAGTGCTCTTTTCAACAAATTTCCATTACTAAAAGGCTCTAAGCACATTTCACTGAAGAAACTTAACGAATCCTTTTCTAAACGTTCTTCGATCTATAGCATTAAGACAATTAAGCATACGCAAACACACACATTTTTTTGTTTTGCGTTTAGGGTGTATATTGTCTGTATGATCATAGCTAGAAAACAGAATGGGTGAATGGGTACATTATATGATCCGTCGGTTCCTTTTATCCTGTCTATTTTGCACATTGACAAATGTGTATGTGTGCACAAATGCAGACATGGATATGTGAGAGTATAAGATAATGACTATGAAGCGTGTGTCTGTGAACATGTCTGTCTATCCGGTAAATATGTATATTCATGTATAAAGATATACATATGCATATATATATTATATATATTATATATATATATATATATATATATATATATATATATATATACATGCATATACATATATAACACATATACATGTATATATACATATAAACATGTATAAATATTTGAATATATATACGTATATATACAGATATAAGCATATATATCATATATATAATATATAGACATT